AACGGGAACCCTTGGATTTTTCTCAGCAACTCCACCGTCAGACATCTCTGCAGAGGTAGGTAGATGGTCCATCCTTCAGGGCAGACTCCGTCAGGAACCAGAGGCGTGTCTCATTAGATTCCCATCTCTCATTGACTACCACGAACAATCTTCTTGATGCCAGGGGCACTCGAGCTAACTTTAGGATGGAAAGGATAACCCTGAATCACGCCCAACCCGCCCATCTCAGGGGATGTGACCAGCTCACAGGGGCTGCTAATGGACTAATCGGAGGTGGCTGTTTGCAGATCACCCTGTCTTTCCATTTTTTTTTTTTTTGATTTTTCGAGACAGGGTTTCTCTGTGGTTTTGGAGGCTGTCCTGGAACTCGCTCTGTGGACCAGGCTGGCCTCGAACTCACAGAGATCCACCTGCCTCTGTCTCACGTGTGTGCCACCAACGCCCAGCTAGATCACCCTGTCTTAATCAATGCTGACGGTCTTAATTGGTAGTGACAGATGAGATTGACAGACATTCTGATCCACTAGAAACTGTTCCAAATCTGAATGTTTTACAGATAAAATGTTGCCAAACTCCATTTATATTGCCAGCAGAAGAACACATGGGAATTTTAGTTTTAGACACTGTAGGAGCAGAACACACATGACGAGGACAGCCTCTGTTGCTGCGAGCAGGCATAAAGAATGGAGTCCTGGCTCCCCAAGCTGTAAGACCTCGGGCAGGTTACTAGAACTCTCTGTACACCAGTTTCACCATAGTAACGGGGAATCATTAAACTCAGCTCAGCAGGTTTGGGGATCCCCAGGTGCTGATGTCTTCAAAGCACACAGCGTGGGGGTCCATGTCTGGAGGTCGGTGCAGGGAAGATGATGTGGGGGCGGGGGACGGCAACTGATCGTCACCCCCAGGTCTCTGGCGAGTGTGACTTCTCTGCCTGGGATTCCTTCCTGAAAAACATGCGTGATGATAAGAAGACCAAAGACACCGATGTCGTGGTGTTGACGTGAAATGTCTCCTGTGGGCTCATGCGTTTGAACACTTGTTAGTGCCGCTTGCGAGTGCTATGGGTGGGGCTCTGGGGGGGTGGAGCCTTGCTGGTGGGAGCACGTCCCCGGGGCTGGGCCTTTGAGGGTTCACAGCCTGTCCCCACTTCCTGCTCTCTCTCTGTCTCTCTCTCTGTCTCTGTCTCTGTCTCTCTCTCTCTCTCTCTCTCTCTCTCTCTCTCTCTCTGTCTGTCTGTCTCTGTCTCTCTCTCTCTCTGCTTCCTGTGTGAGCATGGAAATGTGATCGGCTACCTTCCTCCCCCTGCGGCCATGACCTCCCTACCAGGATGGCCTGTGGCCCTCTGGAACTGTGAGCTAAAATTTACCTTTTTCTACTTTAAGTTGCTTTTTGACAGTCTGTTTCTTACCACAGCAACAGGAAAGTAACCACGCTGGAGTTTGAGTCATCTGAGGAAAATGGACCTGAAGTTGAGATTGCCCTGTAGACCAGCCTGTGGGGCTTTTTCTTGACTGTTGATTGATGATGGGAAGGGCAAGCTCACTGTGGGCGGGGCCATCCCTGGGCTGGTGGTCCTGGGTGATCTAAGGAAGCAGGCTGAGCAAGCCTGTAAGGAACAAGCCAGTAGGCAGCTCCCCTCCGTGGCCTCTGCACCAGCTCCTTCCTCGATATCCCCGTCCTGCCTTTGTTTCCCTCAGCGATGGGCTGTGATGTAGGAGTGTGAGCTGAGACAAACTGTTTCTTCTCTAAGTTGCTTTAGTCTTAGCTACAGAACCTTAAGACAGTGACTGACGCAGTCAGACTCAAGGGGTCACAGATCAGGCTGCTGGGTTTGGGTGCATTCCCTTCTGCAACTCAAACTTGCCATGATTTTGTGGTCGTAGCTCTACCACAAAAACCTCTACCTCCTGCACCTGACTGCGTGGAGCTCAGAGCTGAGCAAGAGATTACTCATTCCTGGTGTTTCAGTTGGCCAAGCAACTTCAGTTTCTCGTCCTATAGAAGCGACTATCTTTTTGTTTGTTTTGCTTTTCTGAGACAGGGTTCCCCTTTGTAGCCCTGGCTGTCCTGGAACTCGATCTGCAGACCAGGCTGGCCTCAAACTCAAAGAATCACCTGCCACCTGCCTCTGTCTCTCCTGGCTAAGTTGCTGTGTGGTAAGATGGCCACTTGGAGTCTTTCTCCTATGAAGATCCCAGCCTCGTAGAGTCCCTCAGGGATGTGGATGCAGGGACAGAAAGCTACTCAAAGAAGCCTCAGCACCATGCTGATAGCTCAGAGACACACTTCCTGGGAACACCCTCCCCAAATTTCCAACCCACAAAGTTGTGATGAAAATTAGTGCTTATTTGAAGTCTCTGAATTGGGGATGGAATCCTGTAGAGAGGAGCACCTCAGGGGCAGAGTCAGGATCATTCACACACTCAATGAAGACCACTGGCAAACAACCAATGGATGGGGAATTTACACACTCAGAACTCAGATCAGAGACGCCTATCCCAGTTTCTTTACATCAAACATCCAGCTGGGCTTCTTACGAGGACCTCACACACCCTTTCAAGTCACTGTTCATGACAAAGTCTAGCCTTCTCCCTGTAGATAATGTGGACAAGGGGAGAAGACCCTTGGGGTCTTGGGGTCAAGTCAGCTGAAAAGACCCATCTTCTCCATTGTCTTTCACAATCTCTCATTCGTTCCGGTGAGTGTTTTAACCACAGGTTCTCGGGAGAAACTTAAGTCATCGTTTATAGAATGTGCCAATTTCTGTGGTGTAGGATTTCCCACCAAAAAAAAAAAAACGCGCCAATTTCTGTGGGGTAGTATTCCCCACCAAGCCCGATTTCAAACTCCCAGCTTGCTGTCGGTGACTATGGAGCTGGGAAGGAACACGCTGCCACATAGCTAAAACAGGTGTCAGCAGCTCCAAGAATGTAGGTCACTGTCAATCATAGTGAGAAAATTAGGAACAGACGATTTAAAAAAAAATGCTTGTCAAATGTTTGTTTCTAAACACAATTCACTCAACTGTAAATTTATACGGTTTTGTGTTTGGTAGCAAACTTGAGGTATTCTTGCCTTGGTACTTGAGGACAGCCCCAACCCGCCCCAGCTCTCTGCTGGACTTCGTCAGAACATGGCGTTCACTGCCCGTGGTGTAGCCAGGAAGCCGCTTTCCAATGACTGCTTCCCCATGTCATCTGCCACACGAATGTGCCCAGGAGGCCTTAGTATTAGACCGGTGAAGCAGGAGTAAGCCTAGGGTCGAGGCTCCTGCTTATAAAGCCATGGCCGTCTCCAAATTTTCTCAAGCCCCGATCCCTGCTGTTAATTTGCCACACTTATTGATCCGTGTCCCTTGGGTGACCTACCCACTTGGTGCCAACTGGGCGGAGGACCACCAGCACCTTTCCTTGGAAGGTCACTGAGGCCCCGCGATAGCCAGTGTCGGTGTCCCTGCTGGCATTGGCTCCTTGGTTGATATTCTGACCACCCCTCCCGGCTTGAGGCCCCCACGACACATTGGGAGCAAGAACTGGTATTGGCGTTGGTGTCTTCTTAAAGGAGAGCTATGCTGGGTCGTCTCCAAATGTGTCATGCATGACCAGCAGTACAACTTTCACTGGTGTGATTCCAACCGCAATTTGCAACGGCAGCTTCAGCGAGTCTCCAGTTGCTCGGTTAGCAAGTGGGAGCTGTGTCGCCGATGTTGCCTGACCGTCGACATCAGGGGAGGCGTGGGCGCAGGGTACCCCACGCCTGCAACAGCGAGCTAATGTGTGCACGGTGGCTGTTTGTTCTTGTAGTCCTTGTGCTGTGAGGATCCAATCCCAAGGAGTCTCTGAAAGTGGGACAATGACGGTCTTTCAGACCAGCCGCGTGGGAGAGGAGACCTAAGATGCACTCACGGTGGCCGCGGCAAGCCTGCTTCGCCCTCGGTCTACCCAAGCAATGGCACCCGTCTTTGGGATTCCCTTGAGCCTGGTCTTCTGGAAAAGAGTGTACAGAGAAAAGAGTGTGTATAGTTGTGGTGGAAGAAAACTATAACCCAAGCAGCTGGTAGGGAGAGGCAAAACAGGGAAGAAAGATCATGCCCGTGTGTTGTGCATGACAGATGGAAGCCCCCCCCAACCCCCCACTGCTCCTGGGTTGGACCCTTGGTCCCCAGCTGGTGGTGCTGCTTGGAGAGCTGACTGAAACTTCTGGAGGCGGAGTCCAGCTGGGAAAGCAGATCCCCAAGGGCATGTCTTTGAAGGTTATATATCCCCCCCCATTCTCTCTGCTTTGTCTTCAGCGAGCAGAGAGCCTCTGTCGACCCCCATACCACGATCACAGGCCCAGGATTATCAGAGCTAGGAATACAGACTGACGCATCTGCGGACGGGGACTAGCACGGACCTTGTCCCATAAGCGGCCCGTGTCGGATACTCTGCCTGCATGAGTAAAGTCCGATTGATACATTAGGCTAGCAAGCGTGTGAAAAGGGGAGTTGTGTTGGCTGGAGACAAAAGTGATGAGGCTTAGGACAGCGTCACCAGAGCCCCTCCCAGGTGTTTGCCATTCAGTGGGCGTATGCTGACCTGAGGGACCCAGCTGCATCCTCCTACTTGGAAGTGCCCGGCCACAGCGCGAGCGTGGGGGTGAGTGTCTGTGGAGTACTTCACCCCCACCGTTGAACGAGAGAGGGGGGAGACGGACGGAGGGAACGCTCTGGTGCACCCCAGTACGGCATGCTGGAGAGGCGCAGGCTGAAGGATCGCAAGGCAGAGGGAAAGATGGGGAGGGGAAATCATGGCGGCCGTGTGGGGGCAGGGGGGGCATTGCACAGTTATGGTACATCCTTGTGTTCTGGGTGCAAGGTCCCACGTTTGGAGTGACCCCGCGGCAGCTCTTTGAACTTTGAGATGAATTCACTCTCCCACGGGTAGTGTAGGTTGACTTCTTTGGATGCATATATATATATGCATGCATGTGTGTATAAAAAAACAACCAAGGCCATATCAAATTATTCTTTTATTGTTCCAGTCAAGAAAAAAAGAGGAACGCCTCAGTATGTAAACAGTTTTCCTAACACAGGAGTTCTTAAATATATATATTATAATTTATTTATTCTAAAAAAAATTTGGCATTGTAGAGATTTCTCAATACATAATTTGTGCTTTCGCGTTCGCGTTTAGCATGCTTTCGCCTGGTTGTCCGTGCACAGACTTAACTTGGAGCTGAGTAAAGGGAGTTTACCAAGGGATGGAAGTGTGGGTCAGGAGCCAAACCAGGGCCCCAGGTCTGCCTGGCTTCCCCTTTTCGTAGGCTTGGCAGGAGGCTGGCAACAATGACCTCGGAGGCAGATATCGGCTACTTTACTGCAAGGGAAAGCTGAATCCTTCACGGAGATCTCTTTTGGGAAGGCTGTTCTCCCCGCGTTCTCCTGTGCCTCTCTGAAAGATCATTGTGTGTTTTTTTTTTTTTTTTTTTTTTTTGTTTTCTTAAAGAAAGCTACAGGGACTGCTTCAGTGTTCTCTGAATGTGATTTTGCTGGGCTTATGATTCCCTGTTACATCCACTGAAATCCTACCTTTCTCTATCTCCCCTCCCCCAACAGATTCACTTAATTATTTGGGAGCGCTCGACGGTTGCGTCAAGGACATCCTGCTTTTGGTTCAGTGGAAACTGACCTTTGGTTCAACTGTGAAGCGTTAGGAGCCATTTTACTCTGTGATGGCTTTATTAAGTAAGCCCCCTGCAGCCCTCCATCTCCACTTCAGAGCTGCCTACTATTTAGCACCAGTTTTCACGATATTTTCATCAAATCCCCCGGGGAGTCATCTACCCTGTGTAGGCCAGCCTAGGCACGATCTGGCCCCTCACTATGACACGCCTCTCCCCTGGATCTCTTGCTTCCAAAGCACACCAAGGCCTCCAGGAATGTCAAGATATGCCCCTTCCTGCCACTTGATAATATTGCTTTTACTGTCCACAGAGAGGCTGGCTTGCTATCTTTAAATTCCCATCAATGCGTCCTAGCTGCCCCTCTGGATTAAGTATCTTTATCCCTGAAGCTAAGACTCACTTTCTGCATGTGTTATATGGGTGTGTGTGTGTGTGTGTGTGTGTGTGTGTCAGTATTTGCTCCCAGGGGCTTGTGTGGTCACACAGTAAGAGCTGGTGGCCCTGGGGTGATAGCTTGTTGGGGACAATGGAGGACGTGTCAGCATCTCCAGGGTGCCTTGCTTAAGATGTTGCTCACTGCACAGCACCTACCAAGTATCCGTGACCAGAACTCCTTGCCAAGAGCCTTGTCCTTGTCTATCTTTAGTTAGCTTCTGGGTCTTTTAGAACAGAAATACACTTAGGCATGCTCTCAGCCTTGAGGACTGCCGTACACCTGAAAATGAAAACCTTCTTTCTCCGTAGGACGTAAGCATTTTGTTAAAGGCTCAGGTTCTTAGGAAAATTGCTGGGGACAGAGTTGACGAATATGTGTGTTTCTGTTTTCTTTTGGGGGGGCAGTTGGCTATGCTTGCTTAACATATTTTACAGCTTAATTTAGATTTGTGCGTACGTGTGCATGTCCGTGTGAGTTTATGCCACTCTTTCGTGTGTGGGTGCCTGAGAATGTCAGAAGAGGGTGCTAGTCCCCCTGGAGCTGGAGTGACAGGCAGTTGTGAGCCGCTGCCCTATCTGGTGCTGGGCACCAAACTTGAATCCCCTGGAAGAGCAGCCGCCGTTCTTAACTGCCGAGTCACAGCCCCAGCCCTTTTGTGTTCTTTAGAAACGGGTTCCAGTTGGGACCTCATGACGCCTCAACTCCAAGACCCAGTTCCTGGGCTCCCTGGCTTTGTCTTGATAGGTCTGCGTGATGCTTGGTTGAGAGCTTTGTGATCCATGGGGGCACAAACACCTCTAGACCCTCAGGCTTATTCTCTAAAAGGATGTTGGCACTGACAATGGGCTTTTGAACTAGTAGACTTTCCCAGAATAATTTGTTTTCTATCCTAGCTCATAGAGAAACTTCCTATTTTACTCAGCCAGGCAAGCCTCTGGCCCTTTAGTGGGAAAAGCATATATATATGTCATTGTTTTTTAGCCAATAGTGGAAAGGATCTCCTCTTTCTGCCTTGGGCATATAACTAAACCATGGCCGGAAGGAAGCAATGCGGCCAATGTATGTTACAGCTAAAACGCAGTAGGGCTACTGAGCACCCGTAAGTGCTAAGCTTCTCCTTGTTGTGTTTGGCTCCGTAGCTGCATAGTCCTGGTGAAGTCCCTGCATGCATGTCTCTAGCAATGCAGAGCTGGCGTTGTGCTGAAGTCAGCTTGCAAGAACACAATGGCATCGGGTTACTCAAAAAAATTGTCTGTATTTATGGGTATCTGCTTGCCTTGGAATGTGCACGTGTGTGCAGGTACATTGGATACCCTATGGCTGTGAGCCTCCTGACACAGGTGCCTGGAACCAAACTCTGGTCCTCTGCAAGAGAAGCCAACGTCCCTAAAAGCTGAGCTATCTCTTCTATCCCTTGGGTGACTTTTCTTACTTGGTGTGCAGCGGTGTGTTTATTTTACACCGATGATGCTAACCTTCCTTGAAGCATTCTCTACTTTGGTGGCGGTCACAGTGACCTAACAATCGCCTACCTCATCACTACCTCTCTTCGGCCTGGGTTAGTGTGGTAGGAGATGGGGGAGGGATGTGGCTGGGGAAGGAGTATTTTTGGCAGTTAAATTTACAAGGGAAGAGTTTACAAAGTTAAAAGTTTAAAGCTGACCTGATTAGGGACCATGAGTTTAAGAGTGACGTAGACTTAGACTGATGGGAATGTTACTGGGAACTCATGTCAGAATCGTAGTGACTGTAGGGTCAAACACCGGCTGGAAAAACGGGTGGCAGGCTCTTCCCAAGGCCACAGAGAGCAGCCGTGAGGATGTTTCATTCTGGGCCATTGCAACACCTTAACATGCTAAGACCATAAAAATTCTGTAGTGTTCCTTGCCAGAGCACAGTGGTGTTAAGCTAGAAATCAATAATAGGTAGAGGCCTGGGAAACCTTTAAACGCTTTAAGTTTAAACAACACAATTCTCAGTGACATGGAGTAAAGAAAAAAAATCTCAAGAGAAATTAAAAAGTAATACTTTGAACTAAGTGAAGATGAAATCACAGTTTTAGACGGGAATCGATAACAGAGCCTGAAGAGAAATGTATAGCATCAGATGCATCAAGCAGAAAAGAAATCTGAAATCAGCCGTCTAAGTTGGAGGAGTGAATTAAATCCAAAGCAAGCAAGGAAATAAAGATGACAGCACAGACTGACAAAACCGAAAACAGGATGCCAATTAAAAATAAAAATCAATAGAACCGAGAACCAGAGAGAGAGGCAGAGAGACAGAGAGGGGGGAGGGAGAGAGAGAGAGACAGAGAGAGACAGAGAGAGACAGAGAGAGAGAGAGAGAGAGAGAGAGAGAGAGAGAGAGAGAGAGAGAGAGAGAGAGAGAGAGAGAGAACAAACTGGAAGCCACTGCAGACATGGGTGGAAGAGAGCATGACCACAGACTCTATGGACATGGAAAGGACTCCAAAGGATGTACCCACACTTCTCTGTTGAAGTTAGACTCATTACTAGAAACATCCAGTCTGGCAAAACTCGCATTAGAGGAAATAGATAGTCCAAACTGTTTATACATTAGAGACTTTAAAGTTTTGTTCGTCTTTATTCATGTGTGTGAGCGTGAGTGCCTGCACGAGTTTATGTGCACGACACACATGCAGTAGCCAGCGGAAGCCAGAAGAAGGTGCCGGGTCCTTAACTGGAGTTACAGGTGAGTTGTGAGCCACCACGGAAGCACTGGGAACTGAACCCAGGCCCCCTCTGCAAGAGCAACAGACAATGTTAACCGCGGAGTCATCTCTCCACCCCGGACTTTAAGTAAATTATTCATGACCTTTCCAACCAGAAAGCACTAGGTCCAGATGGGCTCATTCTGGGTGGACTCTTCCAAGTAGTTAAGGAGGAAAATATATCAATTCTCTGTAATCTCTTTCAGAGGATGTGATTAGAAGAAATACTTCTCAATCCACACTAGGAGTCCAGCGTCACCCTACGAACAAACGAGGAAAAGATACTTCAGTGAATGAAAACTACAGACCAATAGCTCCCACGAACACAGATCCAAAACAGACTCAACCACAAATCACTCACAACTCACAAGTTGAATCTAATAATGCAAAAGAAAAATTGTATACTTTGACCAAGTGGAATTTATGCCGGATAAGAAAAGCAGTTCAATGTTTAAAAATAAATGCCTGTAGTCCATGTTAGTGGGCAGGGTAATTCAAATGATATGTGTTACTATTGATAGATGCTGAGGGAGAATTTATCAAACCCAATAGCTATTCACTGTGAAAGTCCTCAGTGAGTGAGATAGTGGAAATCACACAGTATCGTAGCCTTTTTAGATTCTTTTTAACTTAATAGTTTTCACTTAATGTTATCCTATGTTGCCCTATAATTTTACAGATTGTTTTTTCAATTATGGAATGCTGAAATATTGGATATATGCTTATCACAAGAATATATCTTTCACAGTTACTAATAAAACTTCTATAAATAACAAAAGGCTCTCTATAAAGCATGGATAGTGGGACCTTTATTTTTTATTTTTACTATTATTTATTTACTTATTTATGACATTTCTTGAACTAGGGGAGCAGTGTTTAAAACTTCCTTTTTGGTTCATTTCACTTAACTGACAGAAACTTGTTTTCTGTTCAGACCCAGAACAGGAACCATTGCTTTTTAATATGACTCTAGATGGTTGGATGATGCAATAAGACAAGAAAAGCTAATGAGAGATATGCAGATAGGAAGGGAAGAAGTGGCTATCATTTATAGATGGCCTGCTCACCTCTGGAAAATCTTTAAGAACTGACAAGAAAAAAATCCACAAGATTTTCTTTTTGTTTTGTTTTATTTTGTTTCGAGACAGGGTTTCTCTGTGTAGCTCTGGCTGTCCTGAAACTGACTTTGTAGACCAGGCTGGCCTCAAACTCACATAGATCTACCTGGCCCTACCTCCCAAGTGCTGAGACTAAAGGCATGCCCCTCCCCCAGCAAAACCAAGATTAAAAAAAAATTACACGAAGATTTTTTGACACAAATTAGCATAAAGAAGCCAACTGCTTTCTTATATACCAGCCATGAGCAATTAGAATCTCAAGAACAAAAATATGATCATTTAAGTTAGCACCCTTGAAATGGAATACTTGGGTATGTTTCTTAAGCTACGTGTAAGGTCTGTGTGAGGAAGGAGATTGTAAAGGGGGTGAAAGACACTGACGGACCAGATAAATGAACAAACCTGGCATTGCCAGGGCGTTTTCTCTTCTTATCTTGATCTTTAGAGTTAATACAATGCCAATCCAAAGTCAAGCAGAGTACTTTGTGGATATCAGTGCGCTTAAGCTCATATGAGAAACCAAAGCCCCAGAACAGACAGAGTGGATCGTTCACTATTAAAGAAACGGTGCGAAGACAGAGGACTGATGCTACCAAACATCAAGACTGGTAGCAAACCAGTTATATCAGTTGAGACGGTGTGGTTCAGGTAAAAGACTCAGTGGACCTGATGAAGGACCCGACTCCAGAGCTCAGAAACAGGCCACATAAATCGAGCGATCGGATTGCGCAGGACACACGCTGCTTTCCGACAAAGGAGAAAAGGGCGCTAGAGCAAACGGTACTAGAGCTATTAGACACATAAATACAAGGTAAGCAAGAATCCAAGCACAAACCTCACAGCAGTCACAAAGCATCGGTTCAAACGACCATAGATCCGGGGATTAGATAAAATGGTGAAGCTCCCAGGAGACAGGGGGCGGGGTCTGGATGATGTGGGGTTGATGACAACTCCCTAGGTACAGCTCCAAGGGTACATTCCGCGAGAGATGATTGCCAGGCTGGACTTCACTGAAACAAGAAACTTCTGCAGAGCCCAGGACACTCTCCGAGAATGGCCAGCTGGAGGAAGTGTTTGCAAAAGTCTCAGAGAACGAAGACCAAGAATCCAAAGACCCTTTGCAGCTCTAGAGCAGGAAAATGGACGCTCACCCACAGGATGGACAAAAGGCCTGAGCAGAGATGTCCCAGCACGACAATCTACAGACAGACAAGGAGTGTCTGAGAAGGTGTTTGATGCCATAGTGAGCCGCACGGTACATAGCCATGACACACCCTGACACACCTATCGGAAGGGCGCAAATCCAAAACAGCCACACCGCCAAACACCGGGGGAGCCACCGGCGCCATCATTCATAGACGAGTGGAAAAATAAAAAATGGTACAGCCACCAGGGAAGACGGTTTTATCAGCGTACAATGGAAACTGTCTCACCGTGTAACACAGCCGCCGTAGTTCCTGATCTTTGCCCAAACGAGCCAGAATCTCGCTTCCATATTAAAAACCACACACAGATGCGCTTATAAGTTTTCTCTCTTAAAAAAGGAGCAACGAAGATGCTGCTGAGTAAGTACACGGTTAAATAAATTCTGGTCTGTCTAAAAAAAACGGGGAGTGAGGAGCTGTGAGGCCGAGGAGGAGCCGCAGGAGGAACCAGTGCACACGACCGGGCGAAAGGACAGCAAGCTGAGAAGGGTTTCCATTGGGCGACCGCAGCCACGGTCTGCCCAGGAGCAGTGGGTTCTGGGAAGGGGTGAGGGCTGCAGAGGGATCGTAGGGTGGCCAGCCTGCTCTATACGACATGTCGACGGTGGGAACCTGTGCTAACACAGTTGCTCAAACACATCCAGTGTTCACGGTCAAGGGTGAGCCCTAGCTTCGCCTGCAAACGCGGGCGAGAATGGTGTGTTGGGGGTAAATTCATGCCCAGTGACGGACACACAGTGGTGTGTCTTGCCAGTGACGGGGAGGGTGGGAGGGTTATAGGGGCTCTGTGCTTTCTGCTTAAATTTGTGTGTGTGTGTGTGTGTGTGAACTTAAAGCGTCCCTAAAAAGTTATAACATCACTTTACAACAACAGCAGCAGCAGCAGCAGAGAGGCACTGGGACTTTCAGTGATTCATCTAAGGCCACATAGCTCATCTGAGGGGTGGGGGTGCAGACCCAGGCCCAGGCTCCAATCTCCAACAGAGCACTGATGAAGGGTTCTTAAGACCCATCGCCTGTCCTGTGTGTGGTCCAGCGATGTGTAAGATTGTTTAAAAGCTAAAGCCGCTGTGATGATCCGAGAGGACCATCCTCGTTCGTGCTTAGTTTTCCAGAAACCTTTTCCTTTAGATTTTATGTTTATTATTTTAAGTGCGTGCGTGTGCATGTGCGTGTGTGTGTGTGTGAGTGTGTGCATGCGTGTGTGTGTGTCTGTGAGAACACAGGTGCAGTTCCCTGCAGAGTTCGGAAGTGTCGTGTTCTCCTGGAGCTGGAGTTAATGGTAGTTGAGGGCTGCCTGGTGTGGGTCCTGGAACCAAACTCTTCCACAAGAGCGGTCGGTCAGTTTAGCCGCTGAGCCCATCTCTCCAGCTGCATCTCCTGGAAACTTACACGGACTTGGTTGTGGCTGATAGGGAGGTACAAGAACGTGGTCTGTGTGTGCGCACATGCACTCCTGCACCTGTGTTTGTGAGTGGCTGTTTTCTGTTTCCCAGTTGGAGTGTTAAGTTACGAAGGTCTAGGAGCAATCTCACCGCACTGTGAAGCATCCAGGGGATTCTTCATCGCTTTAGCACAGGGGCAAGTGGAAGGAAAGTTGTAAATAGGAGGGGTCGTGTGGTAGCAAAGCCAGGAGTCTGGGAGTCCTATTGTAACAGAGCTAGAAACCAGATGGGTTGTGGAAAGTTCTCATTCTTCTCTAATGTCCCTGAAGATACAACAAGCCCACTAGGTGAGTCCTGGGTGCTGAGATCAGCTGCATGGGCATGTATCAGCCCTGGGTACTGAGATATCAGCTGCATGGGCATGCATTAGCCCTGGGTGCTGAGATTAACTGCATGGGCATGCATCAGCCTTGGGTGCTGAGATTAACTGCATGGGCATGCATCAGCCTTGGGTGCTGAGATCAGCTGCATGGGCATGCATCAGCCTTGGGTGCTGAGATTAATTGCGTGGGCATGCATCAGCCCTGGGTGCTGAGATTAACTGCATGGGCATGCATCAGCCTTGGGTGCTGAGATCAGCTGCATGGGCATGTATCAGCCCTGGGTACTGAGATATCAGCTGCATGGGCATGCATTAGCCCTGGGTGCTGGGATTAACTGCACGGGCATGCATCAGCCTTGGGTGCTGAGATTAACTGCATGGGCATGCATCAGCTTTGGGTGCTGAGATCAGCTGCATGGACATGCATCAGCCCTGGGTGCTGAGGTTAACTGCATGGGCATGCATTAGCCCTGGGTGCTGAGAGATCAGCTGCATGGGCATGCATCAGCCCTGGGTGCTGAGATCAGCTGCATGGGCATGCATCAGCCTTGGGTGCTGAGAGATCAGCTGCATGGGCATGTATCAGCCTTGGGTGCTGGGATTAACTGCATGGGCATGCATCAGCCTTGGGTGCTGAGAGATCAGCTGCATGGGCATGCATCAGCCTTGGGTGCTGGGATTAACTGCATGGGCATGCATCAGCCTTGGGTGCTGAGAGATCAGCTGCATGGGCATGCATCAGCCTTGGGTGCTGGGATTAACTGCATGGGCATGCATCAGCTCTGGGTGCTGAGATTAGCTGCACAGGCATGCGGCAGAGATCTGAATACAGAGGTCTCTCTGTGAAAGCAGATCCTCACTTCACACCTCCCTTGTCTCAAGCACTACCATGTCCCAGTTTTGCTTGTCAATATGCAGGAGCCGATTCCCAGGTTCAAAGCCAGAGGGAAGTGGCTAGCACAAGAAGAAACGGAATTCTGAGAGCTCCGAATCCTGGATAAAAATGAGTCTTTAACGTGAAATAAGATTTTCAACAATAAATTGTAAGTCAAACCTTTTTTTGAGGTAAGGTGTCATGCAGCTCAGGCTGGCCTTGAACTCCCTATGTAGTTAAGGATGACCTTGGGCTCCTGGTCTCACGGCACCCATCTCCTGAGTGCTGAGATTACA